TGGAGCCAGGGGGGTCGGGCTCTGCTCCCCAGGAACAAGCGACAGGACAAGAGGGAACGGCCTCAAGTTGTGCCAGGGGAGGTTGAGGTTGGATCTGGGGAACAATTTCTCCCTGGCAAGGGTTGTCAGGGCCTGGCCCAGGCTGCCCAGGGCAGGGGGGGAGTCCCCATCCCTGGAGGGGTTTCCAAGCCCTGGAGATGGTGCTGAGGGACACGGGGCAGGGGTGGCCTGGGCAGGGCTGGGGAAGGGTTGGGCTGGGTTGTCTTGAAGCTCTTTTCCAATGAAACAATTCTAAGGCCTCCATCCCACTGCAGCTTCATGGCCTGGCTGTGGATGTGCAGACACAGGGGGGCTCTGGGCAGCCAGGCCAGCCCCCCCTGCCCGCTCTCCTCAGCCCCCCAGCAGCAGATAAGGAGCCAGCCTGGACACGGCGGCAGAGGAGGGAAACCTGCAGGGAGAGGAGCTGCCAGACGGTGGCAGAGCACACAGGTCAAAACACCACCCGTGGGGCTCATGATGTTTCATGTTGTTCATTTGGGAGAAACCCACCCGAAGCACCCCTAGAGAGAAGCCAGGTGTTGATGGGAGCAGCCTGCTCACCCCCCTGACCCGATGCTCCAGGCCTGGGATGGGCCAGGGACACCTTCCAGCAGAGCTCTGTGCCTGCATCTTCTGCCCCAGGCAGCATCTGTGCCCACGGCCATCAGGACATGCAGGGTGAGCCAGACAGGCTGAAGTGAATCAAGGAAGCCCTGGAAAAGCTGCCAAGGAGTGACTGCTGAGCTCCAGTCATCCCTGCATCACCAGGTCACATCCCAGCGACAGAGGGGAAGCCCTGCATCTCCCAGTTCCATAGGGAATCTTCCAAACAACTGCTGGCAGTCTTTCCAGGTGTCTGGAATAAGCCAGCAAGGGGCTGGGCTCAGGGAACTGCTGGGAGGAGCAAGAAACAGCCGTGATGGAGCAGGAGCTGCTGCCAGGTGCTCCCTGTGCCTGCCCGAGCAGCCCCTGAGCACAGCACCCTTGATCCCTGTATCCAGACCCTCTGGAGGGACACGCTCCCACCTGCACCAGCTTCCCAGCCCTGGGATAAGAGCACACACCTCCAACAGCTTCCCCTGGAGGTCCCTGCTTTGCACAGCAACCACATTCCTGGGACAACCCAGTCCAGGGAGCCCTGGGGACCCCATTTGGTGCTGGGGACTGTCAGGGTTGGACTGTGTGTGACACATCCCCAAGGAGAAAAGGATGGAGGGGTCCAGGGAACCCAGAACTCCAGGCCAAGCCCAGCATACAAGGAGCACATCTGCAGAAGCAGCTTTCCCAGATGGAGTTTCAAAGCTGCCTGCCCTGCCCTCACACCACAAACCAGCAGGGAACCAAAGCTCCATCCAGGGGATGGAGCCAGAAGCTCCTGGCTGGCTCCTCTGCACGACCAGTGAGTCCCTGAGCCCACCAGGACCCTCACAGAGGACAAGCCCCACAGCCCCCTGCTCCATGCCATGATTCCTGGAGGAAAGGGACACAACACCCAGAGCCCACTGCAGCTGTTCCCAGTTGGAGGCACCAGCAGGTTCCCAGTTTTCCCAGCACAGAGAAGCCAACATCAGCTCAGAGGCAGGAGAAGGGGTCAGCAAAGCCATGGGGACACTAACGGGGCAGCTCCAAGGGAGAAGCAGAAAATGGGAAATTAACAGATTCCTCCCCGCTTCGTTTTGATAAACCACAAACTTCAGTGACCACATTTCCCAGTTTCAACTGGTGTGTCAACTCCCTCAGCACCTGGGTATGGTTATTTCACCAGTGAGCGACAGCCCAGAGCCCCCACCAGCAGCCCAGAGGCCCCTCCCCAGCACTGCACCCAGAGAAGAAAGGAAAGTGCCTGTACCTCGGGACTTACTGTGTGTTTCTTAGTCATTCTCCAGAGGATGCACGTCAGGAGCATGTGGCCCAGAGCCGACGTGATGAAGATGATGAAGGCATTTTCATGGATTGCTGAATCAACAAGACAACAGGTTTCCTGTTAAATCTGAGCCAAGAGCACTCGGGGAACATGGAGGGAGGTTTGTGGAGGGTGCAGGATGGTGCTCTGCAGGCAGGGGTCCTGCCAGGGGTCCCAGCACCCGGGAGGTGTGAGCAAGGGGGGGGATTTCATGGCAAAGCTGCTCACACGAGGTCCCCTCCTGAGCCTGGGGCTGGAGGGGGGTGCACATTGCTGGAAGACTTATCCCAAAGGTGCCAGGAGGGTGTTTATGTGCCCTGGCACCTGGTCTGAGAGGCTCTGCTGCTTCCCATGGCTGTGAACCTCAGACATGCTCAAGAGCAGCTCAGCATCACCAGCACTGTTCTAAACAAGGGGAAACTGAGGCACAGAGGGTGGGCTTGCACAGTGGGTCAGTCTGAGAACCAGACAGGGCATCTTCTGGTCTCCTGCATTATCTACCTGCCCGTTATTGATGGGCTGAGGTCAATTGTGTGTTGTTCAACCAGGCTCAGTGCTGGGTCCTGGGGTCACACCAACAGCCAGGCTTGGGGAGAGGGACTGAAACGTACCCGGGGTAAAAGGACCTGGGGGGGTTGGTCAACAGAGGCTGAAGATGACCCAGCATGTGCCCAGGTGGCCAGAAAGGCCACCAGCATCCTGGCTGGTGTCACCACAGGGTGGGCAGCAGGGGCAGGGCAGGGATGGGGCCCCTGTGCTGGGCACTGGGGAGGGGGCACCTGGAGTCCTGGGGGCAGGGCTGGGCCCCTCAGGACAAGAAGGACATGGAGGGGCTGGAGCGTGTCCAGGGAAGGGCCCCGGAGCTGGGGAAGGGGCTGGAGCAGGAGGAGAAGGGGCTGGAGAACTTGTGAGGAGCAGCTGAGGGAGCTGGGGGTGTCCTCGTGTGTCACTGAAGGAGCACAGAAGTGGGGTCAGGCTGGACGTGCAGCCTGAGCAGCTCCCCAAGCCCCACACAAAGCCCGGGCACCTCCAGGCCAGTTATTTTCAAATGACTGTTGCTATTCAAGGGAGTTTCCCAGCCTTTTCTCCAGGAACTGAACCACAGCCTCAATTCCCAACCACCTGAACATGAGACACCATCTTCCCTGCTTCCCTTCCCGATCCCAGGGGAACAGAAACCACATGAGGATCAAAGGCAGCATCAGAGGTGAAGACCTGACCATGTCTCAGCCAAGAGGATTAACCTGGGCCTGTCCTCAGCTCGGGATGGCAGCTCAGCTCTGAAACTTTCCCCTCAAAGCTGGGATCAGTCTGCAAGAGGGATCTGAGAAAAGTGGGTTAGTCTGAACCCTCTGTGGCTTTTTCCCAGCCCTGCTCTGGGCTCCTCCTCCTGGAGCTCTGCACAACCCAGGCAGAGCCCTGGGGGTGACAATGTGAGGTGTCCCAAGCCCAAAAAGAGTGTCTGAATTCCCGAGGGCTCCCAGGGTGACCTTAAAGGTCTTTTCCAACCAAACTATTCCATGATTGTGTTATCCCCCAGCTGGGCACCTTATCTGTCATTGTCACCCTCACAGGTGGGCAGGGACAGGTGACTTGTGCCTCTCTTGCTGCCATGTCCCAGAGCTGGGGTTGTTCCTGCTGCAGGGGCAGCATCTCACTGGCTCCTGGGCCTGAGTCCTCTCAAGTCAACCCCTGGTGCCACCTCCAGAGCTTTGGATTAAACAGCACCTGATGTCACCTCTGGCACTTCCTCTCACATAAGACCAGAGGACATTTCCCAGCCTGTCCTGACTGTGCTCTGCACAAACTTCATCTGAGAGATTCTGGCTTTGTTTTGAGGCCAAGACAGGGAATTTTTCCCAGGGAGTTTTGTTGGAAGGTGTTGAAAAGGCAGCTGGAACCAACAGCCAGAGCTCAGCAGTGGCCACAGAGGGTCAGCAGGGATGAGCACCAACCTGGTGACAACCAGGAAAGTGGGAACCAAGTTCTAACACCTGATCCTGGTGCTGACACAAAAATTCAACCTACACTTTCAGGGAACTATCAGTTACCAAAAGTTTGGGGAAGAACCCTTTGCACTCTATGGACTGTGAACCTTGCTCTATAAATACTAATTTTGATAGAATCATTTTAATCAATAGAATTATTTTTCATAGAATCATAAAATAGTGGAGGTGGGAAGGGAGCTCTGGAGATCCCCCATCCAACCCCCCACAGCAAGATCCCTCCAGCAGGTCCCACAGGAACCTCCAGAGGGGCTGGGATGTCTCCAGAGAAGGAGCCTCCACAGCCTCTCTGGGCAGCCTGGCCCAGGGCTCTGCCACCCTCACAGGCAACAAGTTCCTCCTCATGTTCAGCCTGACCCTCCTGTGCTCCAGCTGGTGCCCATGGCCCCTTGGCCTGTCCCTGGCCACTGCTGAGAAGAGACTGGTCCCTTCTCCTGGACACCCACCCTTCAGATATTTTTAAGCATTAATAAGATCAACTTTCTACTGATTATTTCCCCTCCAAAGTGCCCAGTTCCAGAGCACTGGGGTGAAGCTCCTGCAAAGCCCAACGCGGGGCAGGAGGCACCTACGATAGTTCTCAGTGGAGGAGACGTAGGTGAGGAGGAGGAGGGCGAAGTTCTCCAGCAGGCTGAGCAGCAGGTTGCAGTGGCAGAGGCACAGGTAACGGGGGTGGCTGCAGGGGCAGCTCAGGTAGTGGTTCCAGTAGGTGAGGGCGACCAGGAGGCGCGGGGCGGCGTGGAGGGCGATGCAGAGACGCCAGACGTAGCGCTGGGGGGTCTGGCCCCCGATGGCCGCGCTGATGGACGGGAGGTAGTTGGGCACCTGGGGAGGGCACAGCAGGTCACAGGCACGGGCAGAACAGCTTGTCGTGTGGTATGGAGAAAAGAGAAGGCTCCAGGGAGAGCTGAGAGCAGCTTCCAGGGCCTGAAGGGGCTCCAGGAAAGCTGGGGAGGGGCTTGGGACAAGGGCAGGGAGGGATGGGAGCAGGGGGAAGGGTTTCCAGCTGGCAGAGGGAGCTGGAGCTGAGATGGGAGGGAGAAATTCTGGGCTGTGAGGGTGGGGAGAGCCTGGCCCAGGTTGCCCAGGGAAGCTGTGGCTGCCCCATCCCTGGGGGTGTTGAAGGGCAGGTTGGATGGGGCTTGGAGCAGCCTGGGCTGCTGGGAGGTGTCCCTGCCCATGCAGGGGTGGGACTGGAGAATCCTTAAGGTCCCTTCCCACCCAAACCAGTCTGGACTTTTGTGGATTGCTGCCCCTCAGAGCTACTGGAATTCCTCAGAGGAATCACAAGCACGTGCTTGTGGGTTGGGAGGGACCAGCTGGAATTCCCAAAGGGGTGTGATCAGGTTCCTCCCCATGGCACAAGCGTGGGGAAGCAGCTGGTTCCGAGCTGGGACCCAAGGACAGCAGTAGGTGGTTGGTTTGACACCAGCAGGAGGTGACCCCAGGGGTCTGTGTCATCTGTTCCTTGTGTGCTCTGGGGTGACACAGGCTGAGGGTGCTGCCAAAATCTGGAGCAGGGACACCTCCCACCAGACCAGGTTGCTGTCCTCAGAGCTGACCTCACTCTTCCACCAGACGCTATTTTGCTCTGTAGCTTCACTGGTTTTATCCCTTACAAGAACCACCACTGATGTGCCCAGTACAGACAGATCAGCCTGACCACTCTGCACTTCCCAAGGTCCCTTTTAAAAAAAAATCTCAGCTCCCAGTGCCCCACAATCAAATAAAGCACATTCTTCAACATCCCCCAGCACTTCTGGTGGGGAAGAGCAGAAGAACAGAGGGGCCCTGCCCCCCCCACGGCTGCCCCAGCCCAGCAGCCACCACCCTGGGGGACACTGTGCAGATGAGAGTCACTTACCCCGCAGTGGGTGGCTGTTGTCTGCTGGAAGTGGAAGAGCAGGGACCAGGTGACACAGAAGAGGAACCCGAAGAGGGGGCAGAACACGGTGCCCAGGGCCAGGGTGGTGAAGCGGAGCCGGAACAGAACCCCGTCCCTGCCCAGGGGCAGGGGCACCTGCAGCATCGTGGGGCACCTGAGAACAAGGAGGAAATGCTGGACAGGGGTTCTCTGTCCTCCTGAGAGCTCCAGCCCCCCAGAGCCCTGGGCAGAGGCACACACAGCTGGCAGAGGAGCCTGTGGGATCTTGTGCTGGGCTCCCCTGGCCCCGGGGTGAGTGTCAAGGATGGGGAGATGGAACCACCAGCCTGGAGATGCAGCTGAGACACACCCAGCAGTGAATGTGGAACCACTGAACAGTTATGGATGGAAAAGACCTCTGAGATCACCCAGCCCAGCCCTTCCCCAGCCCTGCCCAGGCCACCCCTGCCCCGTGTCCCTCAGCACCATCTCCAGGGCTTGGAAACCCCCCCAGGGATGGGGACTCCCCCCCTGCCCTGGGCAGCCTGGGCCAGGCCCTGACAACCCTTGCCAGGGAGAAATTGTTCCCCAGATCCAACCTCCACCTCCCCTGGCACAACTTGAGGCCGTTCCCTCTTGTCCTGTCGCTTGTTCCTGGGGAGCAGAGCCTGACCCCCCTGGCTCCAACCTCCTCTCAGCAGCTGCAGGGAGCACAGCACAGTGTCCCCAAGTCCCTGTGTCCCCAGCAGGGATGTCCCAGCCCGGGCTGAGCAGCACGAGGCTGATCCCATGCAGAGCACTCAGCTCTTTTCAGCCCGGCTGCTCAATCCAGACCATTCCCGGACGTTCCTGCTGCCCCGGGGCTGCCAGAGCATCCACACCCCCCAGCCCTGCGCCCATCCCAGCTTTCCTGGAGCCCCTTCAGGCCCTGGAAGCTGCTCTCAGCTCTCCCTGGAGCCTTCTCTTCTCCAGGCTGAACACCCCAACTCTCCCAGCCTGGCTCCAGAGCTGCTCCAGCCCTCCCAGCATCTCCGGGGCCTCCTCTGGCCTCTCTCCAACAGCTCTGTGTCCTCCCTGTGCTGGGGACCCCAGAGCTGTTCCCAGCCCTGCAGGGGGGTCTCAGCAGAGCAGAGGGGACAATCCCCTTGTCAGGCTGGAGAAGCCAGGCCAGGGGGTCAATCAAGCCCAGCAGGGACTTGGGGCTCCCCCCCCAGCTCATTCCCCAGACTCACTGGTGCCATCTCACCCCAGCGATGACTGTTCATCCTGGAACACCCCTGACCCCACCCCAGCTGCCCCCCGGGGGTCACAGCCACATTAAATCAGCCCCCATCATCACACACACCTTCCTCCGAGCTCTCCTCCCTCCACACCTGCCCCCGACCCCTCCTGTCCCCACAGGCTGGGGACAAGGGCCACCCAGCAGCCCTGACGAGGGGCTGTGACCTTCTCCTCCCAGCTGGGGGTTCCCTGGGGGTTCCCCACACCCTGCTCAGGCTCCAGGACAAAGGGGATTGAGAGACAATCCCCAGGGAATCCAGGTCCCAGGGAGGGCAGGAGGCTGGGCAGTGCAGCCACCCCCTTCCTCCAGTGCCACAAGCACAGGGAACTGTCCCCACCAGTGCTGAGGGACCCCAGCAGCTCTGCCACGGCTCCGTGGGGCTGGGATGGTGGGTGGGGACCCCCCAGCCAGCCCAGGCTCGCCCCTCTGGAATGTTCCCCCCCCCAGGCAGTGACCCCGACCCCAGGGGTCTCTGGAGGAGGGAGGCTCACCTGAGGGGACACATGTGGGGTCACGGGGATGTCTGGGACATGCCCACCCCGTGGGGGGCAACCTCACAGCGTGGGGGGGGCACGGTGACCTTCCCACCCCCAAAAAGGGAGCCCCTGATGAGCCCCCGCCCCCCTCTCACAAGGGTCCTGCCCAAAAGGAGGTGAATAAACCAGCAAATCCTGTGTCACCTGCTGGGAGAGCCCCCAGGGAGCAGGGACCCCCCCCCAG